TTTCCGGAGGATGAGGCCCAGAAATCAGGATTTTAAAAAGATTTCCAGGTGATTCTAATGTGCAGCCAAGGTTGAGAACCACTGCTCTAATAAATCATAACAAGTAAGTATTCTCTGAACACAAACATCAAGTTCCCAATTTTGTACCACAGAGGGTTTAGCTTTTCTGATTTAAGAATTCAAAATCAACCCTAAACGGTTTGGCTCAGTGCATGGAGCGGGGGTGTGCAGGAGGCAGCTGATGGATGTTTCTCTCTCATCGATGTTTCTAACTATCCCTCTCCCCTCCTCTCTGTAAAAAATCAATAAAGTATATATTTTTTAAAAAACCTATTAGAGGTACATGCAAGAGTTTTCTTTTACTTATAAAAAGCCTCATTTATAGCAAAAATCAATAAAATATATATTTTTTAAAAAAACCTATTAGAGGTACATGCAAGAGTTTTCTTTCACTTATAAAAAGCCTCATTTATAGTTGGCCATGTCATAATTGGCTAATACTTTTGCACAGATTTAACTAGGTGGGTCCTTTTCAATCAGAAACCAAAAAAGGACCTAACGCTGCCAAGCTTAACCACCTGGGATGACAAACTTGTTCTTCTTGAATGTCTTATACTTCACACTATGCTTTGGGCCTCCCAAGTCACTGGTTCATGTTCCATCCTCATGCAAAGGCAGCAATATTGTAGTAAAAGAAGAATGGGTCCAAAGGCCAAAGTTCAGCTGGGGGCTAGTTCTTTATGCAAACAACCTCCCCTTCTATGGGGAAGGTTTGCTTCACTGCCCAACCAATTCCTATTATTGGAGAGAACTGGAGAGAACAAGAGTGAGGAACTAATTACTGATTATAATTAAGGCTAATTCAAAAAAGCAGTAGTAGGAAATAAAAGGAAGCAAATAACTTCTGGTTAATGTTTAGAAATCCCCTAAGATACGGTATCTTTCTCTTGACAGTTCAAAAAGCTTCAGAGAAATAACATTCTTATGAAACAAGGATAAGATTAGCTTGTTACCTTTGGAAAAACTAATGCTGGCTTGAGTTTATACAAAGTATTAGGACCCAGAACTTTCTTAAATTACTTAATGGGGAAAACCATGCATGAACCAGCCCAGGGCAAGCTGGAGTTCCTGAATTAGAGTCATGCCCATCGGAGAACAGATAGGAAATGACTACAGAAGAGAAAAACACACACAAACAAAGAAAGGTCACGAAAACCATGCATGAACCAGCCCAGGGCAAGCTGGAGTTTCTGAATTAGAGTCATGCCCATCGGAGAACATAGGAAATGACTACAGAAGAGAAAAACAAACACACACACACAAAGAAAGGTCACATCATATGGTTTCAAACCAAATAAACCCCCAACCCTAACCAAGGCAAAGGAGAATTACCTTTCCACAGAATACGCCAGCGTGTGGCTTTGATGTTTATTTCCCCATGGTTACCCTTGATGCTCATTTTAATCCCAAAATGAAAAGTGCTATTTTGTGACACAGCCAGCCTCTAGACAACTCTCGGCACTGTATCATAATGCTTCCACATAAAATGCTTCCTTCAGGGGATGAGGTCATTTCCTGGAATAATTCAATCTAACAGTTAATTTTGGTAAAAGCTGCATCATGAAGACAGCCTTGTCGTCAGAGACCTGGGTCTGATTCCTGCCCCTACTATTTAGCTGGGTTATTTATTCAAGTAAGTCATAATTTCTGAGTCTTGGTTTCCTCATCTTCAAAATACAACTAATAACTAGTTTGTAGGTCTCTGGTAAGAGGATGAGATAAATTATATAAAGGTGGGCACACTATACACACTAGGTGATAGCTCTTATTTACACGAGTTCCTACTAAATATAGATGCTGAGTTAGGCTTTGTGAAGATACAGTGAATGTTCTTCTAGCTGCAAATGGTAAAATTCCTAAATGTGCTGAATTTTCAAAATTCTTTTTATGCATCACTTCTTTTTGGCCCCTGAGAAACACAGGGACAAGCAATTGAAATAACTAAGATTTTGGAAGTACTTTACAGTTTATAAAATGTTGAAGGGCGGCCCTCGTGGGTTTGGCTCAGTGGATAGAGAGTCTGCCTGCGGGCTGGAGGGTCCCAGATTCGATTCTGTCAAGGGCATGTACCTTGGTTATGGGCTTGATCCCCAGTAGGGGGCGTGCAAGAGGCAGCCAATCAATGATTCTCTCAACATTGATGCTTCTCCTCTTTCCGCCATCGGTCCGAGCGGCCATAATGGTGCGCATGAATGTCCTGGCTGATGCCCTGAAGAGGATCAACAACGCCAAAAAGAGAGGCAAGCGCCAGGTTCTCACCAGGCCGCGCTCCAAAGCCATCGTCCGGTTTCTGACTGTGATGATGAAGCATGGTTACATTGGCGAATCTGAAATTATTGATGACCACAGAGCTGGGAAAATTGTTGCGAACCTCACAGGCAGGTTGAACAAGTGTGGAGTAATCAGCCCCAGATTTGATGTGCAACTAAAAGATCTAGAAAAATGGCAGAACAACTTGCTTCCGTCCCGTCAATTTGGTTTCATTGTGCTGACAACCTCAGCGGGCATCATGGAGCATGAAGAAGCAAGACGAAAACACACGGGAGGGAAAATCCTGGGGTTCTTTTTCTAGGGATGTGATACATATGTGGAAATAAAATGCCTCAAAGGACAAAAAAAAAAATTGATGCTTCTCTCTCTCCCTCTCCCTTCCTCTTGGTAAGAATCAATAAAAAATAAAATAAATAAAACGTTTAAGGGCACGGAGTTAAGAATACCCAAGCACCCTAAACAGCCACTGAATAACTGACATAGATAAGAGAACCCAAGCACCTGAGCAAGCACCGCGGTGAGCTTTTCGCGGCCTCCTGACCTCATTAAAGCACCGCGGGGGCTGTTTCTGGTCGGGGCGCTCCCCGGCCTTTGACTCCTCGCTCGCCGATACCACCTGGCGGAGATTAGCACTTGGCCTCCACGCCCGCACTGCGAGGGCCACTGCGGGCCATTTCTGGCCTCCGAACGTCGAGGGCCACTAAGTGGCCGCTAGTGTAGAGAGGCACCCCCCTGCTCTTCCTCTTTGAACCCCATCCTCCCGGGCCGCCGTGTCCTCGCGGCGAGCGGAGCTCACCGGGC